AAACTTTATTTCCAATTCTTTCTCCAACACTCACCAAAGTTCATTACTGGCGTTGACATGATTCTAGAGCAGACTCTGGTGCAGACACAATAGGAAACATTTTAATATGTTTATTTGGAGATTTTACAGAGAGATTTTGTCCGGCGTGGTGGTTCGGAGAACTGAGGCCTAGACTGGAACTGCACGGGAAGAGAGATTTGTTAGAACGTTGGCGGAGGAACTGAGTTTTTAAGAGAATATGCTGATTTCTTACAGTTCCTTGGAGAGAGGAGCGGACAGGGAGAAGGTTGGTGAGGCCACAGGGATTGAGTTTGCCTGAGATATGGTTTATGGCTTGAGAGCTCCAGAGGGTGGACAGGCAGGTGAGCGTTCGAGGATGGATCCAGGAGGACTGAGTGGAGAACCAGCTTGGAGACAGCAGCGCTTCTAGGAGAGAAGGAGGACAAAAAGGTAAGCTTGAGTCTTTAGGCACAATGTTCATTTAGATGGAGCTATCAGGTAGGTTACCACTATGTGGAATTTTAACCGACTGGCGTCCTACCCAGGGAATCCACTCCTCTAAATACTGCTCCCTGATTGCTTCTAATTGGAACCAGCTGGAGGCTTGCCTGGGCTGAAGTCTTAGGAGGAAAAGGTAAGAAAAAGCCTTGACACAGCTCAGCACACAATCCTGTACCCCCACCCCCCTCAAGGGATGCCACCTGGCGGACGAGCAGAAGAAGACGTCAGAGATAAGCGCAGGATCCAGAATGAAAGAGCGCAGAACCCAAGACCGCTGCTCTGGGCCACAAAGGGCTGGAGGACACTGGCTTGACTTGGGACACATGAAAAACGGGATGGACTTGAAGGTGAGAGGGGAGCCTCAGGCGGACAGTGGTGGGACTTATAACAGTTTGGATAGGAAATGGGCCCAAAAACCTTGGGGACAACTTTTGGGAGCACTCTTTAAGAGGAAAGTTTTTAGATGAGAGCAGGACCTGTTGTCCAGGAGAATAAACTGGAGCAGGGACGTGTCTGCAGTCTGCAATCTTCTTGTTTTGGGCAGCTGTACGGTTCAGGGCAGTGAAGGTTCTGTCTACGTGCACATGTGGGACAGGCTAAGACAAACTCTAACACATCTTTGTTGAGAGAAGGCCACCAGAGATAGCAGCGGAGCATTCCGATAGTACGGCTAACCCCTGGGTGGCAAGGGAACCATGAAGAATGCACCCACTGGATGGCCTGAGAACAGGTTCTAGCCGGCACATAAAGGCGGTTGGGAGGACCCCCCCTTGGATCGAGTTTGGCCTTCAAGGCTGCTTCAATGGCTCTTTCCAAGCTCCAAAATAGCCCCCCAACCACACAGGAAGGTGGAAGGATGGGCTCAGGGGTTTTAGAGGAGTCATCAGAGGTGAACTGTCTGGACAGGAAATCTGGCTTAATGTTACGTGACCCAGGATGATATGTGATATTTAGGTTGAACCTGGAGAAGAGCAAAGTTCAGCGGGACTGCCAGGAGTTCAATCTCTTGGCATTTTGGAGGTAGGACAAATTTTTGTGGTCAGTCCAAACCATCACTGGGAGTTTTGAAAAGAAGGTGCACGGGTGGAGCTTAATATCTGCTGTGGACTGCTGGTAGACTACAGCCCCAATCTCAGTATCTGATGCATCTACCTCCATGATGAATTGAGCTGAGGGATCAGGATGGATTAGGATGAGTGCCTTAGAGAATAGAGCCTTTAGCTCATAAAAGGCATTCTCAGCTCCAGGGTTCCCCTCTCACCTTCAAGTCCATCCCGTTTTTCATGTGTCCCAAGTCAAGCCAGTGTCCTCCAGCCCTTTGTGGCCCAGAGCAGCAGTCTTGGGTTCTGCGCTCTTTCATTCTGGATCCTGCGCTTATCTCGTCTTCTTCTGCTCGTCCGCCAGGTGGCATCCCTTGAGGGGGGTGGGGGCGGGGGTACTGTTGGGCCCACAGGATTGTGTGCTGAGCTGTGTCAAGGCTTTTTCTTACCTTTTCCTCCTAAGACTTTTGGTGGAGGTAAGGGCAGAGAGAGGAGCGGCTATGATGCTGAAATTCCATATGAACCTCCTGTAGAAATTGGCAAACCCTAGAAACTGCTGGAGTTGTTTTCTGGTTTCAGGAGTAGGCCAGTCCATCACCGCCTTGATCTTGGCTGGGTCCATCTTCACCTGTCCTCCCTCAAAAACAAAACCAAGAAAAGAGATTGAAGGCACATGAAATTCACATGTTTCTGTTTTGACATACGGGCGATTTTCTAGCAGGCAGTGAAGAACCTTTCTTACATGGGTTTTATGTTCTTCTAGATCTTTGGAAAAATTCAGGATATCATCCAGGTAGACAAAAACAAAGACGTTAAGGAAGTCCCTCAGGACATCATTAACAAAGGCCTGAAAAACTGTGGGAGCATTTGAAAGGCCAGACGGCATGACCAGATACTCAAAATGACCAATGTGAGTCCTTAAAGCAGTTTTCCACTCATCCCCCTCACGAATACGGACCAAGTGGTAGGCATTTTGGAGATCAACCTTGGTGGAAATGGTGGCTTTGCTTACGGTTCAAAAGTGGCTGATATGAGCGAAATAGAGTATTTGTTCTTGACTGATCTGGTAATCGATAATCTACATGGACGAAGAGTTTTGTCTTTCTTTTCAACAAAGAAGAATCCTGCCCCAACAGGAGATGAGGAGTTAACTATATTAACAGTTCCCTGCTTCAAGGGAACTGTTAATATAGTTCATCAACGCCTGACGTTCGGGTCTAGATAAGTTGTATAATCTGCCAGAGGGAAGTGGGGCACCTGGAAGAAGATTGATAGGACAACCATAAGGCCAATGAGGAGGCAAGTTAAGTGGTTAAAACTTAAATGGAGGTTGTTTTGGGCGAACGGGACAGGTGGAAATTAAATGACCGGAGTAGCCACAGTGAAGACAACACCCAGATGTCAACCGCCATTGCCTTTCTTCGGGTGAGAGCCGAGCTCTGCCAATCTGCATGGGTTCAGGAGATGGTGGCCGGGGTTGAGACTGAGGACTAGTCATCATAGCATAAGCAGCATGAGGAGGACTGACATTTCTCTGACGATTTATTTCTCTGAGCCTATTATCAATTCGGATGGCGAGATTAATTAGCTGGTCCAAGGTTTCTGGTTCCTCTCGGCAGACTAATTCATTTTTTAGTTTTTCATTTAAGAAATGTTGGAACTCCCCATTGAGGGCTGTCTCGTTCAAACCAGATTCAGCAGCAAGAGTGCAAAACTCAATGGCCAATTCTTATGCTGACTTGTTGCCCTGTTCACAATTTTTTGGCTGCTTCTTCTTCCCCAACATGTAGACAAAATGTCTGCTTGAATAAATTAAGGAATTCTCTGAAAGAATAGTCATAAATATTGGACTCATCAATAATTGCTTCAGCTCACCTTAAGGCCTTGTCCCTGTGCAGGCCAATGACGTAGGAGACCTTGTTGACGTCATCCGGAAATGACTGCAGAGACTGCCCGAACACTAGGGAGCACTGTAGCAAGAATCCTTTGCTTTTGTTCAGGTCACTGGTGAATGGCTCGGGAGTGGGCAAAACAACGTCTATGGACATGGGAGACCTGGAAGAAGCTGCAGAACCAGCAGGTAGGTTAGGTTTTGGAGGAGGAGAGACGGCATTTTGGAGCTTAATTCCTGTACTTGGAGGGACAATTGGCTAAGGATTTTTATGATAGAAGTTTGTTGTTGAGCTATAGTCGAAATAGCAGAATCGTGTCGGCCGAGGAGAACTCCTTGTTCAGAAAGTGCGGTTTGTTATTGTGCTGCAGAGTCATGTTGGCCAGTTGGTTCTGACATGATTCTAGAGTAGACTCTGGTGCAGACACAATACGAGTCATGTTTATTTGGAGATTTTACTGGTGTGGTGGTTCGGAGAACTGAGGCTTAGACTGGAACTGCACAGGAAGAGAGATCAGTTAGACCGTTGGCAGAGGAACTGAGTTTTTAAGAGAAGATGCTGATTTCTTACTGTTCCTTGGAGAGAGGAGCGGACGGGGAGGAGGTTGGTGAGCACACAGGGATTGAGTTTGGCTGAGATGTGGTTTATGGCTTGAGAGCTCCAGAGGGTGGACAGGCAGGTGATCGTTCGAGGATGGATCCAGGAGGACTGAGTGGAGAACCGGCTTGGAGACAGCAAAGCTTCTAGCAGAGAAGGAGGACAAGAAGGTAAGCTTGAGTCTTTAGGCACAATGTTCAGTTAGACCGAGCTAGCAGGTAGGTTACTACTATGGAATTTTAACTGACTGGCGTTCGTCCCAGGGAATCCACTCCTCTAAATGCTCCTCCCTGATTGCGTCCAATTGGAACCAGCTGGAGGCTTGCCCGGGCTGAAGTCTGAGGAGGAAAAGGTAAGAAAAAACCCTCACACAGCTTAGCACACAATCCTGTGGACCCAACAGGCATGCTCCTTTGATTTAACAAATATTTCTGTCTCTCTTTGTAAATGTAAACATTTTATTTATTTTTACTGTTCTGTTTACAATTCTTAGAACTTAATAGGTTTCTTTATATTTTCTATTCATCTTTTCACTTTTTTTGTCTCAAAACTGATGCTGAGATTTTAATACAGCACAATTTTGTCTGAACTATTGCCATGAAATCTTAATCAGATGTCTTTGATGATGCAAATCCAAACCATACGGATAGTTTAAATGTACTTTAAAAAAAAATTTTTCAGCTGTCATATTCTACACGGTGTCATAAATCTTCCTGTAGATTTAGCAATCCTGTGTTTAATGGCATTGTTAAGCATTTTTTTTTTAACCCATAGCCCTTAGATTTATTTTTAACCTTACCCTCATAGACAGGAGTGAATTATTCATATATCCAGCTGTTTGTTGACGTACTTTTTATGAACTTGTTTTTATATCTTCTCTTAACATGGCTTAATTCAGTACCATGTTTTGTTCATCTAATGGAGGACAGTCTCTTTCCCCTCTCTTTCTGTCTTCTTTCTATTCTCCCAGGACACGATTGCCATTAAGAAGCACAGCTCCAGAACAAGGAGAATACGGCCCGTCTCTACTAGGCTGAGTAAGTACTCATCCACTTACAGAATATCCCTGTTAAGCTCTGAGTCAATCATGTCTTGGATCTCATCAAATTACCATTTCTTTATTTTTTGTTACTTTTTCCATTCTGCCACCAGGCTTATGTGACGACTCTAGCTCCTCTCCCCCTCCCTCTGTGCCATCGTACTGCTCACCACTGTCCCACTCTGCATCCTGGGAGGGTTTGTCAGACCTGCCTACGCAGGGTCTGCCTCTCCATCATGTAACGCGAGTTCGTCCAAGGCCTCCTAGAAGACACAGGGGAGTACATGTCCCCTCTGAGACAGTAGGCCAGAGTTACTTGTTACAATTAATCAACTATTTTATTCACTCCAAACTCTATATTTAAATAACTGTAATGCTTCCTGGTATCTGGGCTGGCTGGCAGTGATTCTGGTCTCTGTCAGATATAATCTAAACAAACAATTTGGCTTCAATGTATTATGTAATCTCACTGAATGCAGTGTAATCAATTTTTTATTGCATAAATAACTTTTTACAAATGAAACCCACAGAAAAAGCCTCTCTGAGAGGAATGTTTGTGTCTGCGTGTGCACAGCATTGCAGCGAAAATGGAGAAATAAGCCCTTTGGATGATGGACTCCCAGATTTTTATACAAAACGAGTTCTACCAGACAGGTAGGAGACACTTTTGCATTTATATCCTGAAACTGAAACTCTACTAACAGAATATCCACAGACTTTATCAGTTTAATTTACACATTTCCTTCACTCTATGTATTTGCCACAGGTTACTTTTAGATTTTACTTTTCAACTTCTATTCAGTTTCCTCTTTCCAACTTTTCACAGAAAATTTAAAATATTAAACATAAATACCTTTTGCATTATACAAATACTCCAATAGACTGAACAGAATTGTTTCTTTGAAGTTTGTAAAGTGTGTTAAGAGACAAAATTGTAATAGGGACTGCCCTCATTGTAATTCATATAGCCCTTTAAACAAATAAAAAAAAACTCCTCTAAAGTCATATGCAGCAATGATTTATACACCCAATAGCAATAAAGTAATTACAAATTAATTTAAAAAGGCATTACATTACATTTCCGAAAAAAAAACAACAGTGTACCAGATCAAAATAGATATCTTCAATGTAGAAGTAAAAATATGTTTATAATTTTAGGATGTAGTTGTCTAATGCAACAGTTTAAGATTTTGTGTTTTTAAATGCTTATTAAATGGTTTTTAGTTGTGATCTGATTCAGGAAAAAGTGAGCACCATTTGCAACATCACCGTTTTTACTCTAACTGGCTCATTTAAAAGGTTTTTAGGAACTTACTGTTACTGCAGCAGAACCTTCAGATGAGACGAAGCAACATCACTGCAATGTTATCGATTAGTTGCAGACAATCAATCAATGAGATGAGTTAGAGTGGTATAAAGGTGATAAAGCCAGATAAGAAATAGATAGGGTTTTAATGTAGCTGTTGTTTTTATGCAAATGTTTTTATTTCACATTTTTCTTTTTAGTTCTTTCATCTCTCTTTGCCAACCTGCTCACTGCACATACCTTAGTCTAGCTTGATAACGTTAACCTACTAACAATGATAGATTGAGCTCCCTTAGTTTTCATTCAGTGGCTTTCCAGCTGTAAATTTTCTTTACTGAATGCAGTAGACATATCAGGCAACTTGTATGTAAGTTAATTTTGGAATAAAATGAAAGGAAAAGGAAAAAACAAAAACCGCCTAATCTTGTTTTGAGGATTAAAAATTTCCCGCAATGGTTTATTTGCTATTTTTGGGGGGTGATTAGTAATATTGAAGCATTTTTTACATATTGTTGAGATCTGCTTTTGCAGTAAGCGATGAATGTTCCACACATCAGGGATACTCAATTTTCAATTTCAATTCAGTTTATTAATATAGCGCCAAATTCACAACACATGTCATCTCAAGGCACTTTACAGTTCAACCAGATCATCCAGTCAAATTGATTCAAAGTTTTCTATCTAAGGAAAACCAGTTGATTGCATTGACTCAAATACAATTCCTCATACTAAGCATGCTTGTAGCGACAGTGGAGAGGGAAAAACTCCCTTTTAACAGGAAGAAACCTTCAGCAGAACCAGGCTCAGAGTGAGCGGCCATCTGCTGAGGCCGACTGGGGTTCAAGGAGACAGAAGCAGAGACACAAAAAGCAGCTGCAAAAGGCGGCCCCGTCCAGGAAACACACAGCCAGGCAGACGAGCTCTGAGCCAGCTTCCATGCCAGAGGACGGAGAGAGCACATCCAGCCAGTCACGGTCAGAGAAACAGGACCACACTGGAAAACAGGCCGATCTCCAGCATCTATAAACAAGGGTGTTGATGGATGGATATCTACTCTACCTTCAGAAATTTCACTAAAATCTCAACATACAAGTATAGTATGACCAAAAAGTGTCTTAAAAAGATTCTAATCTTTTAAAATCCATACAATAGGACCAGTAACTGGTTCCTGTCAATGTACAGCATGTCTGATTTTGGACTAGAGAAACAGAGCATTTTTAATAGTCCAACCATGTAGGCACATGTTTGCAGATGAGATATAATACTATTTTGTTTAATAAATGGACACGTAATCTAACTTCAAAAACAAAATAAATATGTCTACGATACAAATTATTAACATAAGTGGATACATAATGTTATTTTGAATAAAAAATTGGTTCAACTGAGTTTGAAGGTAAAGAAGCTTTTCATATAGCTTACTTTAAAACTAAAGCAGCATTTAACCAGGTTAAATTTGTAGTGTTTTTCTGAAATATAAATATATATATATATATATATATATATATATATATATATATATATATATATATATATATATATATATATATATATATATATATATATATATATAATAAAAGGGCACTTAAGCTTTATTGTTGTGTTCTGAAGACATGTAGCCTAGAAACTAGCCCCAACTGCAGCTGTAGACAAACAAGCGACCCAAATGGCCGTGATGAATTTGGTGACATCTTAATAGAATGGGCTTGTTTGTGAACCAGCGAGGTGACCGGGCCGAACTGGACTGTGTATTGGAGTGTTTAGCTTATATTTTCTCTCCCCACTTTCAGTCAGCTCTCCTCCCTGCACAAAGCACACTCGCTGAGGAGAAAGAAAAGGAGGAACATGCTGACAATCTTCGGTTTCCGTAAGAAGTCTGAAGCAGAGGTCTATGGAGATGGGTCTCACACTGTTGTTACTGCATCCACAGGGTAAGGAGATTTTTACAAACACACCCCTGGAATGGCTTATCCTTGAAAGTAACACAAATTCAGCAGGTTACATCTTTTTTTCCCCACAGCCCATTGCAAAAGTATTTCCATTCATTTAAAGATTTCACCCGTTGTGTCAGCTACATGTCTTAGGATTTCATATGATTAACCAACACAAAGTTCTAAAAAGGCAAAAAAAATTATGAAACATTTTTTACAGATAAAAATCAGACAAGTGTCCCATTCTTTTATATTCAATTCCCTAATACCTCTGTAAAAAGAGGTTACTTTGCAGCAGTGATGGGGACTCGAGTTTGTGACTCGTACTTGAGTCGCACTTAAGTCGCATATTTAATGACTTTAGACTCGACTTAGACTTGCATATGAAGGACTTCAGACTCGACTGAGACTCGTGATTTCTGACTTGTGAACAATATTTTATTTTTAAGTGTTTTTTGTTATACTAACTTGACTGATCGCCGCTCGCCTTACCCGCACACAGCAGAGGTAAAAAAAAAAAAAAAAAAAAAACCGCAGAGGGGCTGTCAAACTGTCACGCAGCACTGACGTCACTGACGCAACGCTACGTGACACATATGCCCCCGCGCCCGTGCACATGCATGCATGATCGACAAGCCAAGCTTTAAAAACTTCATGGCGGTCGTAGAGGAGAAATAAGTTGTGAATAATGTTGTGAATTGGCACTAAATAAATAAACTGAATTGAATTTAAAATACTGCCCGCCAAGTCTGTTCTGTCTGTTCCAGGGCATTAAGTTACAAAAAGTTATTGCCACAATGTTTCTTTTATGAAAGAATTGTTATTGTCCTGGTATTTATTTAGGGTTTTTCTTTATCTGTTGCACTTGCTAACTTCATATGTATTAATAAAAAGCAGGATTGTGATTGTTTTTTTTTTCCCACAGCCCTCATTTTCGCTTAAAAATAAAAGAGCATTTACTCTTAAACCTAGAAAAAGTTGTAACCACAAATGTCAGGTAAATACTGTAAGAAATTTGTTGTTTTTGAAAGAAAAAAAATAAAGATGCAAAATTTAACTAGAAAAAAAATTGCGTGTGTGCTTTTTTAAATTGTATTTTTCATTTACCAGTTCAAGATAATGATCATTCCATAGATATAATAGTAACCTTTAAGCTATACCATCTCAGTGACGTAGATGAAAACACAAGGAGAAGCAAGCACGCAAGTTATTGCACTTATTTTAATTAATCGTGTGATTAGAATTTATTGTTCGATTAATTGATAATTGTTACAGGCCTTCTCAAGACTTGAGACTTGACTTGGACTTAGGCTCTGAAGACTTGAGACTTGACTTGGACTTTAGCTCTCAAGACTTGAGACTTGACTTGGACTTGCAAAAAATGACTTGTGAACATGTCTGCTTTGCAGTTACAGCTTGGAAATTTTGGGGTTATGTCTTTAAGAATTCTACACATAAGGTCTTCATAGCAAGGAATATTATTAATTCCACACTGCTGGAAGATAAACCTCCATCCCAGTCTAACCAGCTTCTTCTGTGTTTAGCCCCATCTACCTTCCTATCATTTTTGACCAGGTTAATTATCCTTGCTGAAGATCGGCTTTCCAAAAGGCAGATACAAATTATACACAAACTAATTAGGCAGCTGTTAAAGGCAGTCAACTGTAAAATATTTTGTTTAAAGGTGTCAGAATAACAGGAGTACATTATGCTGGTGAAGTATCTCAGCCATCCAGGTCATAGACATTCCAAAAAAAACATAAAAAAAAACTATCCACTGGAATTTTGTTTTGAATTTGAACACATTTTGCTTCCCATCTAGGAAGCTTTTTTTAATTCAAAATGTCAGAAATATCGTTGTTCCGGGCTTTATAGAGAGAACCAAAATCAAAGCCTTGTTTTGACTTAGAAAACATGAAAATTGAAATAGACGAACTGGTCTGCTCCTTTGGAATGGGGTCGTTTGGCTTCTTTGTTATGTTCCTACAGAAGGGAAGCACAAAGAACAGAAACACATCAAAGAGGCTCTTCAAACCTGTGGATACCCAAACTTGATGTTGGTCAAATCAGGAAGGAAATCCAAAAGAACATAACAGTGAGAAGATTAAATGCAAAACTATCGCCATCCCATAAGTTCCTAGAGTCTCTGAGGAACTCAAGATAATTTTCTCCAAACACAAAATCCCAGTAAATTTCAAACCAAACAAGATCCTTAAACTAGTGTTAGACTAGTGCATCCTAAAGACAAAACCCCAAAACCAAATATGAGAGAAGTGGTGTATGCAGTTCAATGCAGTGAGGAATGCTCTGATCTTTATATTGGAAAAACCAAACAACCTCTCCACAGACACATGGCCAAACACAGAAAAGCTACCTCTTCCGGACAAGACTTGGCGGTACATCTACACCTTATGGACAAAGGACATTCTTTTGAGGACCAGGATTTTCACATTTTAGACAAAGAAGATAGGTGGTTTGAGAGGGGTGTGAAGAAAGCCATTTATGTTAAGAAAGAAAAAAACAACTTTAAACAGAGAGAGTTAGATTTCAGCTTTCAAAAACCTACAATTCAGCACTAGAGTTGATTCCTTCCCACTATCATCGGAACCCCCACCCCCTTACAGGGGAACAGAACACCTCGCCTGTTTAGCCAGGCCAACAATTCCCCCTACAGCCCCCTTGCAGAGACATAAACAGGTATCAGGTATATAGACTAATAAAGTAGCCAAACAACCTCCATTCCAAAGGGGCGTACCCATTCAATTTGAATGTTTTCTAAGCCATAAAAGGCTTTGTTTTTAGTCCACTCTATAAAACCTTGAACGCTTTTTGTGACATTTTAAATTGAAAAGGTTTCCTGGATGGGAAGCGAAACGTTTTCAAACTTGGAAACAAAGTCCAGTGGATTGTTTTTTAAACTTTTTTGGAAGGAGTAAATTACAAATAAACACCACACTTTCTAGATTTTTCATGGTAAAAAAATACCTTCCTGCTCTCAATTATGCACTGCTTTGTGTTGACCTTTGATTAATAAATAAATAAAAAAGTAAGAAAATTCAAACGATAAAACCTTTTTTTCAATGCATTTCTAGGAGGTCATACTTCTAGGGGTAAGTATGTTTTTTTTTTTCTCCAGGACAAACCTGCTGCTCTAAGCTGATAAATTCTCATCAAACATTTTTCTAAATCTCTATCTTCTCTATGATGACATAAGGGAGGACTGCAAGCTTCCAGAGCAAAAGCAGACTGATTTCATAGTATTTGCACAGGTTGTAACGATCTTGGTTCTGTTGTTTTTCTCTAAGTTTTCAGTTTCAAGTTTAGCCAGGTTTTTCCTTGTTTTCTAGCTTTATTGGTGTGTGTGGATTCATTTAAGTTGCTTACGTATTTCTGTCTGTCCTCTGTTGCCCCCTTGTGTTCTTTTCCCTTGGCTTCCTCATCAGCTCTAGTCACACCTGCTCCTTATCAGCTCATCCGTCTTACCTTTTCTCACCCTGGCTCCTTGATGGTTTTCCCCTGATGTTTCCATGGTTCTGGTTTGTGTTTGATTTTTATGTCGGATTTTTGGATACCTGTTTTTGTTTAACATTTTTAAGTTGGTTTTTTTTGGATACCTGTTTTTGTTGCCTGATCTCTTATTAAACCTTTGAAGAACTCACCTCTGCCTGTCAGCCTCTGCATTTCGGTCCTCATAAAAACCTCCAAACAAACCGTGACAGCACACCGAACCGAATCAGGGAGGATATATTCCTGTGCCTGATTATGGTCTTCTTCCAAAAATTCGTGAGAGAGCATCAGGCTTGACGTTTGTAGAACCAGGTCTGTAAGAGAGAGTGAAATGAAACTGACAAAAAAAAGGGTCCACCTGGCTTGTCGGGGGTTGAGCCTCTTGGCCGTCCTGAGGTACTCCAGAGTCCGATGGTCTGTCCACACAAGAAAAGGCAGTTTAGATCCCTCCAGCCAGTACCTCCACTCCTCCAAAGCCAGCTTGACTGCCAAGAGCTCCCTGTCGCCCACATCTTCTCTGCTGGAGACAGTTTCTTGGAAAAGAAGGCACATGGGTGAACTCTGCCTTCCTCTGTCCTCTGGCTGAGCACTGCTCCGACACCCACACTAGAGGCATCAACAATAAACTGCCTATCCGGGTCAGGGGATACCAAAAGGCAGAGGTAAAAAGGAGCTTAAGTTTTTGAAAAGCCTGGTCAACCTTATCATTCCAGTTGAACCTCACTTTAACTGAAGTCAGGGCATGGAGAGGGGCAAAAGCAACCCACCAAGGGTGGGCGAGGAAAACCAAAAATCTCTGAAGGCCGGCCGATGGGTCGGAGGCAGACAGAGTCTCTGGAGGCCGGCCGATGGCCCGAAAGCGAGGCATAGTCTCTGGAGGGCGGCCGCGGGGCCAGAGGCAAGGCAGAGTCTCTGGAGGCCAGCCGCGACACCGTCTCTGACGAAGGAGGGCCTCAGGAGGAGGCCGGCGACGACGCCGTCTCTTATGAAGGAGGGCCTCAGGAGGAGGCCAGCGACGACGCCATCTCTGCCGCTGCAGCACCCGCCTCCGAGGGGGACGGCGTCTCTGAGGCTGCAGCAGCCGCCTCCAAGGGGGACGCCGCTGACTGCGGCTAAGGAACAGCCTCAGAGGAGGCTTGGAGCGCCCGCTGAGGGGCCTTGGAGGCTTTGAGCGCCCGCTGAGGCGCCTTGGAGGCTTGGAGCACCCGCTGAGGGGCCTTGGAGGCTTGAAGTGCCCGCTGAGGGGCCTTGGAGGCTAGCTGTTTGTCATGGAGGTGACATCTGAAGCCATAGGGGAAACTAACCAGGTTATGAGAGGGACTGCCATAGGGGAAACTAACCAGGTTATGAAAGGGACTGAAACAGGCGTCAGGCTGACCCGCCGGAGAGGGAGTGGAGGCGTCAAGCTGACCCGCCGGAGAGGGAGTGGAGGCATCAGGCACTGGAGAGGGAGTGGAGGAGTCAGGCTGACCCGCCGGAGAGGGAGTGGAGGAGTCAGGCGCCGGAGAGGGAGTGGAGGCGTCAGGCTGACCTGTCAGAGAGGGAGTGGAGGAATCAGGCTGACCCGCTGGAGGGGGAGTGGAGGAAGCAGATGGCAGGGGAGGACCAACAGCTGGTGATGGCTGAGAAACATGATCGGAGGAGAGAGACAGTAGAGTGGGAAGGTGAAGGAATGATGGTTTGGGTAGTGGAGGTTTATTGCAGAGTTGGGCGAAGGTGGCTTGACGGTTCCAATCCAACTCTTCAAACAGTTCTGATAAAACTGCGGGTGAGAGAAGTGAGGTGTTAGAGAGGAAGATCGGCTTTAATTGGTCAGCCGCACCCACCCTCTTCCAAGGTGGACTGAGAGTTGCAATGGAGTCCAGAGCATTCACTAGAGTCAGAGAGATTCTCCTCAGGGCGTCCGTGCTGAGTTCTGCTGGGTCCATAATGGCTGGTTCCTGCTGTCACGGTTTGTTTGGAGGTTTTTATGAGGACCCAAATGCAGAGGCTGAGAGGCAGAGGTGAGTTCTTCAAAGGTGTAATAAAAGATCAGGCAACAAAAACAGGTATCCAAAAAACCAACTTAAAAATCAAACACAAACCAGAACCATGGAGACATCAGGGGAAAACCATCAAGGAGCCAGGGTGAGAAAAGGTTAGATGAATGAGCTGATAAGGAGCAGGTGTGACTAGAGCTGATGAGTAAGCCAAGGGAAAAGAACACAAGGGGGCAACAGAGGACAGACAGAAAAACGTAAGCAACTTAAATGAATCCAGACACACCAATAAAGCTAGAAAACAAGGAAAAACCTGGCTAAACTTGAAACTGAAAACTTAGAGAAAAACAACAGAACCAAGATCGTTACTCAGGTGTGGCTGACAGCTGGCGGCTCTGTTTTGGTTCCAACTGGCAACCAAGTGATTAGAAATGACCACCCTTCCTAAACGTAGATAATACTAGCAGATATTTACAATAAATAAGGAAGTTTCTGTTGTGCGTGTTTACCAGAAGAGTATGAATATATTAAACAAGTAGAACTGGAAGTTATAATTAATTAATAGGTCATTCAAATCAAGGGTAAAACTAATGAGGTATTATCAGTTGAATGATTTTAACTGTAATTTTCTTACTGGCGAGGGATTTAGCCTCTTAACTAAAAGGTTGGACTCCTGAATCCGGCTGGAATCTCTCCATCCATCCATCTTCTTCCTCTTATCCGAGGTCGGATCATGGGGGTAGCAGCTTCAGTAGGGAGGCCCAGTGTCCCTCTCCCCAGCCACTTGGGCCAGTTCCTCCAGGGGAATCCAAAGGTCCTCCCAGGCCAGCGGAGAAACATAGTCCCTCCAGCGTGTCCTGAGTCTGCCCCGGGCCTCCCGGTGGGACATGCCTTGAACACTTCACCAGGGAGACATCCAGGAAGCATCCTAATAAGATGCCCGAGCTACCCCAACTGGCTCCTCTCGATGTGGAGGAGCAGGTGCTCCCCAGATGACTGAGCTCCTCACCCTAACTCTAAGGGAGATCATAGACACACTATGGAGAAAACTAATTTCAGCCACTTGTATGTCGAATCTCACCTATCGATCTCCCGCTCCATCTTCCCCTCATTCCTGAACAAAACAAAGAGCAGCCTAAAGACCTCTTATGACTTTAACGCAAATGGACCTAGTGTTCCCTCGCCCAGAAACGGGTCACCGGGGCCCCACTCTGGAGCCAGGCATTGAGGTGGGGCACACTGGCGAGCGCCTGGTGTACAGGCTTTACCCATGGAACCCGGCCAGGCGCAGCCCAGAGAGGAAGCATGGGTCCCCCTTCCAATGGGCCTGACACCTGAGGAGGGGCCAAAGGGGTCGGGTGCAATGTATGATGGGTGGCAGTCAAGGGCGGGGGCCTTGGTGTTCTGATCTTCGCCTGAAAAAAACTGGCTCTTGGGACATGGAATTTAGTAAATTAGACTGTGGCTATCAGCAACGTTATTATTCACCAACAAAATAAATGTGTCTCTATTCATTTGGATTGTACTAAAAGAAGAGTAATTTCAGCCTGAGTGATAGATCATTCACTGTGTAAAATAAAAACAAAATGGTACCTTTATTAGCTACAATCACACAGTATCATATAACTAAACAAACAGTAAACACTACTGAAAATAAGCAAAAATAAAAAAGGAAAAGTTGTTGTTGGATGTTCGAACATTAAGGTCTAATGCATTGAAAGTGTCCTTTAAAAGTAGCATGGAGCTACAATGCCAGTGTAGCAGTTAGCTTCAGCAACACGTGACTCATGTAGTCTGTAGTGAGCTTAAGTATTCAGTTAAACTCTTAAAACCATCAGCAGTTGAATCAGAAATCCTATTTCAAATAAAACACAAACACGACTATCTATTCTACCTAGTTCACCCAAGCAGAGGAAATATTATTTATTAAGCAACAGATAAAAGGGGGTGATGGGGGAATGATGTTACTGCTATGATTCAGTGGAGTGAAGGCCTTAAGCTTAGTCCGGTTTTCTGCAGGTCTTCAATCCAACAGCAACCCAGAGAGATTTAGATCAATCCAATGCAATTATGAGAGGCAATTTTGCAAGGGGGGTTAATTTCAAAATTCACGGTAGCACCTTTTAGCTACGGTGGTTAGCTTTTAGCCGTAGCCTCCAACAGCACCTCCTCAGTGTGGCTCCGTCTCTCTGTCGCAGGCAGTCACTGGTCTGGCAGCTTCTAACTGCTCCCTCTGGGAACAGCGATTGGGGGACCCGTTGTTTGGCGGTTAGGTTCATGTAAACAGAGCTGGATTAGCTCTTCTCTGTCTCTGCTGCAGCAGCCTTCAGGGAACACTGCATTTAACTCGGTTTTAATCGTAGGAAAAATAAAAACACTGCATTCAGTTCCTTCTGCATCGCAGGAAAAAGGCAGTCTGACTCGGTCCAGCGAGCACAGACTACTCTTTCACCAAACCTTGGGGTGAGATTTAGAAATTGTTTGGACAGGAAACCCTGTCATGATTTGATGAGGACAGGTGCAGATATAATTGGGAAGTTCTTAGCCGATTTAACTGAAAAAAAGTGGCAAACTGTGAAATTTTTATAGAACAGGAAATGTTACTAAGTAACAACAAGTTATCCGTAGTTATGTGGAACATGTCTCTCTCAATATACATTATTTTCTATATTCTGGTGATTTTTAGAGCATTGGACTAAAGCAGTATGGGCCCTACTAAAATACTTGCATCTTAAATATACTGTAAACTAAGAATTTCAAAACTTTGTTTATTAATTATTCTATACTGTTCAAGTAATTTATTATTACTATTGCTATATTTATTAGTTAGCTATTACTGGCACTAATACAGGAACCAGTGCATTCAAATCCAATCAAATCCCTTGCAAACTATACTGTGTTTGGTAATAAGCAGGATTAAAGACAGCACTTCTCTGGATGTTTCATTTGGAAAATGTGATGGAAATTGTGTTAACATATTCAATAGACCAAAATAAGGATAAATTAATAAGATAAGTTATAATAAAATGAGAAAATCCCAGTGGTTCCTCCTCTATCAGTCCTGGATCCTCTCTGTATTTAGTTGGTCTTTTATTTGGTGGCTGATCTTTTGAAAAATAAAATGCAATGTTTTTTTTTTTTTCCTTTTGTGGACATCCTATGGGTTTTTGAGGCAAACCTGAAAGCTTTAAAAATTAGAATCTTTGTGTTGGTTTAATTAGTGCTAAATTCCAACGGGAGATTATTAAACTAGACTGAGCAATATTTATTTAACTGAGCAAAACATAGACTTAAACTGGGGCTAAAATAGAAAAGTTAGAGAGAAAACCATTTGATGTGATCCTACACTCAGTCTCCACATCAATAGCATTTTCCCTGCTGCTTCTACACCTCCCTGCCTGTCCCTGCTTTGCTGTGCCTTGTCTTTTCTGAGCTCTCTCTTCATTTCACCTGAACTAAGAAAAATGTATCTGGTCAACTGGTCACTAAATGCAGTTGGTCAAATTTATTAAACTGGAAGTCAGAGAAAAGGGAACCTGTCATGTCCTGCAAGGACATACTTCATGGGATACACCATGGACTCCTGGAAAGCGTGGAGGACCAGGTTAAGGGCTGCGCAGAAATAATTTAAATTTTTAATTTTGATACCATAAGACGGTCAAGTGAAAGTCGAGACACAAATTTCTTTTAGAAGATTTTTTTTTAATGACATTTCAATCCCTAAATCTGCATGAAAGGTACACTCATTGCATAATTTTCCTTCAATTTAAATTATGTAATGGTTTGTCATATAAGTTCCCTTTAGGAAAACGTGTTTGTGGTTGCTCCTCATTAAAATCTCTAAATGTTCATAAGGTGTGAATGCTTTCGCAGTGCGCTGAAGTTTCCGCTTATTATTAAAGGAAGGACTATAATTAGATCAGTTTGTTGCTCATACTCTTTTAGGACAACAATGGAGAATGTATACACACTTCTCCAGGCTCCCCGGCCAGCGGCAAGGTCTTCCAGTAATGGGTCTGATGGGAAGATAAATGATCAACAAGGAAAAGGTGCTCTTAGTCTGCCACCAGAGCCCAGTATCCCTCAGCCTGGCGTGGATGGAGGAAAACACCCCTTATACTCTCCTAGAGAGGTAATGTTCAGGTCTTTCATTCACTAACTTTGCTTTTATTTCAACCATGCTCAGTTTGCTTTGTGTGGTGTCTTGGCAGATATCTGAAATGGACGCTTTGTTTGAACAGCACGTGGAGACGGACAAATACTGGGTGGACGACAAACAGAGGACTGAGGTGCTGCAGGCAGAAGCGGACTTGCTGGTGGAGGGCCGGCCTGGCGATCCACTCCCAGAGACGCAGTGCTTTGGTGACAGGCTACAAGACATGACCCTTGGAGACCCAAGAACGTCCGACGGGCAGACCGACTGGTACTGGACTGAGAGTAGACATATGGAGAGGCAGTGGACTGTTGACAGACACACCCAACGGCAGATCGACAGAAAAATAGAGAGACAGTGGATCGGCGGGAGGCAGATTGAACGATCGTGGTCCGAGAACAGGCCCATGGAGGCCCAGATTGACAATCAGTGGATGGGGAGAAGACACACAGGGAGGACGGTGGACAGACAAGCTCAGAACCTTCCTTTGGCTCAAAAGCCGCTGCCTCCGTACCCATCGGAGAGGACGCCATTGCCCAAACAGGAGAGGGACCCTTCAAAAAGCACAGAGACAGCATCTATAGAGTGGCATCCACTTGACTCTCAAGGAGACAGGGGAGGCTCCACAGATGGGTGGAGGGGCAGTGGCAAGGCAGGGAGTGGTGTCTCTGCCAGTAGAAAACCAGACCCCCCACCACAAAGCAGTAAACCCAACGTGTCCCGCCTCCGGCCAAGACAGTGGCGGGAGAACTCAGTCACCCTGCCAGGTACAGTCATCCATACTGACAGGCTGCTGATCATACAGCAGGTTTTTATGCTGAAAAACCTCTGAGTAAGACTTAAATGACAGGCAATTCTCTCTCATCACTTGGTACAGAGGAGGAAGGAGATGAAGAGAGAGATGCTGAGAAGATGGAGCGGAGAGAGAAAAGACGAGACTCAGAGGGTCAGCCTCCTCACATTCCTGAAAAGGTGATAATAGAAAATGTTTGACCAGCTAAAAATGTAAAGCTTTTTGTTGAGTAGCAGTTCTTACATTCTAACATTATGTAATGCTGGAAATGAATTCAAATGATACATTAATGTGATTCATGGTGAAGGAATTCAAGCAGAGCACAATTCAAGATGTTTGAAGTACTCTGAATTGAAAATGACAGTTTTACCCAGAGGTGGCCAGACTTTTTTCTAAACAAAATATCTTCTCATTGTCATTGTTGTATTTTGCCTCCCAGCCAAAGACCTCCTCCTATGTGAGCTTTTCTAAAGAATCGGCTAATGACAGAAACTTACCTCCTCATCCTGTGCTGCCTCCTGCCAACAGGCCCATCCACGGGCTGCCAGACAGAGCAGCAAGTCAAGGTACCTGCACCGCAAATTATTAGCTGGGGAAGGCCGTGATCCAGTCTGAATTTATCTATACAAAGAAACTAAAACCTTTAAACAGGATATTATAGGATATTGCAGCATGAAATCTGACTCTCAGAGGGGTTCTTTAAAGTGCAATCAGTGACAAAAAGGAATGAATAAATCAATGTAGCTGCTGAGTTCTGGTCTTTAGTTTGAGCTATATGAAGAAATATGTGCCTGAATAAAGAAATATTTAGACTTTCTTTTAAAGCTACAGTGTGTAATAATTACAGGGATATAAAGTCAGAAATGTAATATACATAACTATGTTATTTATCATCATCTACGAGCTCAGCCTCTTAACCTTAATATTTGCGTTGCCTTAGAATTCGTTATTTATAATTACATAGGAGCGGGTCTCGCAGCCATGGAGGCAGACATCTTTGCCCTACGGCAGCGCAGAGCCAACAAACTAGCGATTGCGAGATCGCCAAAACGTCACAACGATGTAGAAAAAATAACGGGTATATTTATTATCTTAAGTCTACATGAAATCTATACCCTACACAGACTAATGAAATACTATCTGTAAAATTATCTATGTAAACAAACCTCATCACTTGAGAAGGTATGTGATGCGGACGTCGTGGAAGACATTTTGTCCCGTAACACTCGCGGTACTGTTGGAGGGGAGAAGCGGTGGGGGGGAGATGTTCATGTTGCTGCAGTCTGCAGTCTGACCGCTAGATGTCGCTAAAAGTTACACACTGTAGCTTTAAATATAACACATTTTTGTCACATTTTAATCGCAGAGATCCATCTATTTTGTTGGGAATTCTGTGTCAGACTGAGACTGAATGCATGGGCGTAGGTTTCCATAGGGACATGTCCCTTCCAAAATTTTGGACCGACCCAGTTGTCCCTACCAATAATTGGATGTGAACAACAAGTTTATAATTTACTTTACAGCATTGTTGCAGCAGTGGCTTCTTTTCCTCTCGAAGGTCCTCTGCCTGGTAACTACAGCTGCCTGGTCTTTCCTGTATCTTTCACGTATTTTTCTAGATTTTTCTAGATTTACAAACATTAATGTCTGATAAATAATGCTTGAATCTGGCTGTTTATTTTGCTTACTATTACATTACAGATAAGATTTTAAAAATTGCTTCTATAGTTGTTAAAAGCGATTTTATATTTGAATAAATTTAGGCTTATTCTTAGTGTTGTGCTTTGTAGATGATGCCATTAAAAAAGAAGATAGACATAAGGAGCTACTTAAACATTCAGACAGTAAGCAATAAAAACCCACTTATATAATAGAAACATTATATGATTTTAGGAAATCCAGATATAATGATGCAGGGCAGCCTCAGGGTGAAGCAGCTGCCCTTCAGTGCTGTATTAAGAAATGTGTTTGGAATGTTACCATAAAATTAGGGCTGCAACTAATGATTATTTTTTAAATTGATTAATCTGTTTATTTTTTCGATGAATCGATTAATAATCAGATAGCCAAAGGTTCCTTAAAGAAGATTTTTTTTAAGAAATTAAATCAGATGAAACAAACGTTTCCTCTTGAGGAGTTCTGGATGGAGAATATTTTCTATTTTTAATGCAAAATCTTACATATTTACATATCTTACATACATATTTTTACAATCTTTGTATAATTCCTGCTCGCAAAAGGCACATTTTTGTGGCCCTATACTCCGGTTAATGAATAATCAATTACTAAAATGACGATTATTTAAATATAAAAATATTTAAATATTCCATTAATATGATTGTTTCAGCCATAGATAAAATACATTAAATGGGCTACAGAGAGTAACTACAGCCCATATCTCGCAGGGACAAGGTTTGTCCCTGCGAGATATGCAGGACTTGTATAGTGAAGTTAATATTTTAAATGCTCAGTGTGAGTTCCTCTTATAGTTCCAGTGCACATGTAAATACAATAAATTTATTTGCTGTCCCTTTAATGTGTTTTTTTTTTTTTTATGCGTGATACAGAGAGCATATTTGATAAAAAAAAATAGAGTGGGTTTTACCTCTGTTTACCTCTGCACAATTCTATATCTTCAAAAGAAAACACAGGATAAATCCACATATAGCAGGAATAGTTAGACTATATTTGGTTAAATAGGCCCTGGTAAGTTTAAATGCAAACCTTTTCAAAGTGGAAAAAAGTCCTTATTCCACATTCGTCAGAGTCAGTGAGGGCTTAAACATTGATAAACAGCATCTAGTGCGTGTAGTGCTTGTAAGATTTGTATTGATGTAGGAATAAATGCTGTGGATCTCTTTAAACAAAATGTGCCCTGATGCTCACATTAGGCATAAAAAAAGATCATGCATATTTTTGCAAAGGACCAATGACATCAGACCAATGAAACTGAAGACCAACAGTGTCCCTACCAAAGTTGAAATCAAACCTACGCCCTTGACTGAATGTGAAAGAAAAATAAAAACAAAAAGCTAAAATGTATGTTCTTTAGCTCTCGCTTAATGATAAGGATTGTTGTACTGCTGGAGGTTGAACCTCCCTCGCAATACCTTTGCAGCCTCAAGATTTATCCTTAATTTTTCTGCATGGAGCTATACTAAACTTTCAAATCAACCTGGTCAGTTTACTTGTCCCTGCGAGATAAAAATGATTCCCAAATATTGGTTTTACATATCAGACAAACAGTTAAGCTTTTGCCATCTGAACAGAAAAGCTTCTTTAGTGTGTTTGGTACATCTGCTGTAAGGCTGGAGTTAAATTTCAAAGGAGACCTCTATAGTTTTTCTTTTTTCTGGACTTATAGTTATCCTGTTAACCTAAACTGACCCCCTGCAGCTCCTGTAGAGTAAATAAGGACTTTTTGTCTGCTTTTGAATTTAAAACAGACTCTGCTTAGTGTCTACATGAATTTCAAAAACAACTGGTTCCACTACATTTTACTTCAGTGTATTAGAATTATGGATACACAATATTTCTCTGTTTTGGCCAATGTCTGCTAATGATATCCATCCCATGAGTAAAACTGGACCAGCTGATGATTATTTCCATTTATTGTAAACGTTATTGTTAATGCCTTTTGAAAGTGGTAAGCTGGCCAAGTCATATTTCTTTTGATATTGACAGGGATTTTGATAGCAAGCCAGTATTGTTTTTTAACTAAGGCAGAGAAGAAATGTCAGTGGTTTTAGACAGACAGACAGGTGCATCTTTAGTTAGAAAATTATAGTGTAGAATATAAATGCCCTCAACACTTGTTTGTAAAAATTAATATTTCTTTGTGTTGTACATTACCATAAATCCTCTAATATAGGACGGGGTCTATATTTTACTCAGGCACATCTTGGTCCAGGCCATTATTGGAGGGAAGCCAGAATTAGAAGCAGGCCTCTATTTCTATTGGATCATTTTGTTTCTCTTTGAACCTGTAAAATACTAGGTTCATTTATTGAAAAAGTACAGTTACCATAACGGTATACAGAACCTTATTCAGACATCTTCCAGCAGCTGCAATTTTTTTGCACAGCGATACTGTGGAAAAAAACAGACACAGAATGGAATCTTGGCCAGACTGACTTGCAAACAAAGTTTTCAAAAAAATTATGGAAACTGTTCTGCCATCACAGCAAAATTTTACCTGAGGCAGGCTAAGTGGAAGTAGGCTACCAGTATCATACAGTGGGGCAAAAAAGTATTTAGTCAGCCACCAATAGTGCAAGTTCTCCCACTCAAAAAGATGAGAGAGGCCGGTAATTTTCATCATAGATATACCTCAACTATGAGAGACAAAATGAGAAAAAAAATCCAGAAAATCACATTGTCTGATTTTTAAAGAATTTATTTGCAAAATATGGTGGAAAATAAGTATTTGGTCAATAACAAAAGTTCCTCTCAATACTTTTTTATATACCCTTTGTTGGCAATGACAGAGATCAAACATTTTCTGTAAGTCTTCACAAGGTTTTCACACACTGTTGCTGGTATTTTGGCCCATTTCTCCATGCAGATCTCCTCTTGAGCAGTGATGTTCTGGGGCTGTCGCTGGGCAACACGGACTTTCAATTCCCTCCAAAGATTTTCTATTGGGTTGAGATCTGGAGACTGGCTAGGCCACTCCAGGACCTTGAAATGCTTCTTACGAAGCCACTCCTTCGTTACCCGGGCGGTGTGTTTGGGATCATTGTCATGCTGAAATACCCAGCCACGTTTCATCTTCAATGCCCTTGCTGATGGAAGGAGGTTTTCACTCAAAATTTGACGATGCATGGCCCCATTCATTCTTTCCTTCACACGGATCCGTCGTCCTGGTCCCTTAGCAGAAAAAAAGCCCCAAAGCATGATGTTTCCACCCCCATGCTTCACTGTAGGTATGGTGTTCTTTGGATGCAACTCAGCATTCTCTCTCCTCCAAACACGACGAGTAGAGTTTTTACCAAAAAGACCTATTTTCGTTTCATCTGACCATATGATATTCTCCCAGTCATCGTCTGGATCATCCAAATGCTCTCTAGCAAACTTGAGACGGGCCTTGACATGTACTGGCTTAAGCAGGGGGACACGTCTGGCACTGCAGGATTTGGGTCCCTGGCCGGCGTAGTGTGTTACTGATGGTAGCCTTTGCTACTTTGGTCCCAGCTCTCTGCAGGTCATTCACTAGGTCCCCCCGTGTGGTTCTGGGATTTTTACTCACTGTTCTTGTGATCATTTTGACCCCACGGGGTGAGATCTTGCGTGGAGCCCCAGATCGAGGAAGATTATCAGTGGTCTTGTATGTTTTCCATTTTCTAATAATTGATCCCACAGTTGATTTTTTCACACCAAGCTGTTTACCTATTGCAGATTCAGACTTACTAGCCTGGTGCAGGTCTATAATTTTGTTTCGGGTGACATTTGACAGCTCTCTGGTTTTGGCCATGGTGGAGTTTAGAGTGTGACTGTTTGAGGTTGTGGACAGGTGTCTTTTATACTGATAATGGGTTCAAACAGGTGCCATTAATGAAGGTAACGAGTGGAGGACAGAGGAGCCTCTTACAGAAGAAGTTACAGGTCTGTGAGAGCCAGAAATCTTGCTTGTTTGTAACTGACCAAATACTTATTTTCCACCATATTTTGCAAATAAATTCTTTAAAAATCAGACAATGTGATTTTCTGGATTTTTTTCTCATTTTGTCTCTCATAGTTGAGGTATATCTATGATGAAAATTACCAGCCTCTCATCTTTTTGAGTGGGAGAACTTGCACTATTGGTGGCTGACTAAATACTTTTTGCCCCACTGTATATTTCAAGGGAAATTCAGAATAAAGAAGGCCAACAAAATTCTGTCATATTGACGCTGCCTGGTTACCACCAGACCTACCGGTAATCATATCTGTCTTTCAGATCAGAACGATTTTGTGGCTAGTTATACTCCTGCAGCAGTGTGCCGCAGTGAGCTTCACGCAGACATTTTTTATTTATGCTCAATATTGAAGCGTGGTCTGCGCTATAAACTGTGGGTTTAGATATGGCCGAGGCGATTAGGAAGTGGGGGCGAGTTTAGTCCGACAATGGAGGGACATGACGGCGAAAAAGAGCAGAGATCCAGGTGGAAAAAGGGTCCCAGCGTTCTCGCGCACCTCGCTCCTCTAGCTGATCGAACTTCACGAGTTGTTTTCCGCAATTTCGGTCATAAAAACAAAACAAGCCGACCTCCTGTCTGCGCTAAGGATTGGACTCCCCATGCTAATGGCTTGGATTCGTTAGCAAACATTGCCCCCCTATGGTATTTGGATGTTACCATCACAAGTTGTTGAGGACTTCCCAGGAACATTGTTGATTCTAATTATAGCCCCAGCCTGTATAAGAGTCCGGCCAGTATTTACCTCCACCGACAGCCTGACAGCCCATTATTAGAGACCCGGCTGCTAATGGAATAGAGGCCAATATTAGAGGATTTACGGTACTTACAATCCAGATAAAAAAAAACACAATTGTTTGTTTATTTGATCTGTGTTTAACCAGGTAATGGTGATCAAAATAGGCAGCAAAGCAATGAATGACACTTGGAAAAGTTACACAATTAAACCTCAAAGTGAAAGAAATGCCTGTCAAAAATAAACAATAACTTATTACTTTTTGAATAAAAAAAAAGCAAGTAGATAAATGCAATAACTCATAAAACCCAGAACTGGGATTTAGAAGACACAATTTACAAAAAAAAAAGGGAAAAAAACTAAATGTTTGCATGTGAAGCTCCATACAAGGATAGAAGGATGAGAGTGCTTTACTGAAGCTGTTTAAATGTTGTCCAGGGTACGAAGGACTGAGACCTCAAGCTCCTGTGAAACCACAGAGGAACAGAAAAGCAATGTCTTGTGATGCAGGTAAAACAATGCTTTCTGGTAGAATTCATTAAAAAGCTTGGTTGTTTTGTTTTTGTTTTTTGTTTTTCTCAACACCAAAAGAGTTGACATAAAGCATGAAATACTACCACAGCGAGGTTGTTACTTTATCATTTGTTCGTTGTTGTTTTTTAAACTACTTCTTGTAAGCAAGCATAATTTAAAGACTGTTTCCTTTTTAATTAATTGCATATACAGTGGATGTTTAGCTAAAGGTACATTTCAATGCAAAGATGATGTTTCACTAAGCCTTTACGTCTTTTGCAGACAAAGAAATTTTCTAGTAAAGCCTTGTCTCTATTGAAAACACAAAAAAAGCAAAAGCTTTTTTAGATAGTGTTTTGTTAATGTATGTGTAAACTGTCTTTCTCTAACTGTTCACTTATCTCCTGTCCCTCACTGATCTCAGGCTCTGAGAGAGAAAGCCCCAATAACATTGAGAAGCCCCAAAATCGCAAACCCCCTGTGAAAAAACCTAGACTACCTCAAAACAGAAATAAGTCTGTGGAATTGTCTGGTACATGTCTCTCTGTTTTTATCTCTGTGTGTGTGTGTTTATGTCTGTAATATCAAATTGGAAGTCAGAATTCCTTGTATATCCATGTAAACTGTTGGTGTCTGAAAGTCCCAGCTGAGCTCACCCATGCAGCATCACTTTTGTTTTGTTTGTTTTTTTGTTTCTGCTGCATCTCACAGACAGCCTCAATACAGCGTCAGGTCACAGCGAACTGGTGTGATGGCTAAGAAGAGCGGTATGTTGCCATGACAATGATGGAGGACACAAGGTGCAGGCCCAAGAAGAAAAGACGACAAACATCACAAAGCATCATCATAATCAGTTGCAAACCCCTCAGATGGCTCCCTCTTTATTCCATATGCTTGCTTGTTTTGTTTTCTTGCCCTCTCACATGAAAACTTGCTCATGTCCTTGTGTGGCTGCTGTCTTTTGAACAGTATTTGCTATGATAGAGAAGCAAACATTTCACTAAACGCCGGGCCTAGTGCTCCAACATTGTGGCTTTTTAGACAGAAGATGTGTGTATGTATTAGGATGTGATTTGTTGAATTTGCAGTATATTTGATCGCTGATAGAGTTGACCGCCTTGATTGACATTTGAAACGTTAGTTGCTTCTTATCAAATGAAACTAATGATTTATATCTAGTTTTGGTTTCAGGAAAAGGTCATATATTTTATAGATTAAATAAATTATGTATGAGCACCCTCATTGCACCAATAATACACAAATAAAAAGGGTTACATTCTTTTTCACGCATCTGTGTTTTGTTGCCTTAATATTTCTCCTCCCCTATTCAGAAATTTAAGTGAAATGTTTGATATAAATATATTCATTTTACATTTGTTTTATTATTGCATCTTGCTCCACCCAGCTTCCTCTGAACTTCACAGCAGCAGCAGTAATTATTGTGAGGATTTTACAAATAAATACAATCAATACTTCTAATTGTTATTATATGTTTCACCAAATATCCCAATAACACACCCTGTCTCATTTTAAAGAGCAAGTAGACTGAAAGAGCAGCCCAAATCATCACCTCTCCACCACCATGCTTGGTAGTTGATGATGTTATTCTGTTGTTTTTGCTAAACAATGTGCAATACATTATGGGAAATTGGGCCAAACTTAAATATTAGGCTGTTTGAATTCATGGGCTGCATCCTCCAAGGACGCCGTCTACCTAGACTGGTCCTTCCAAGTCCTTGAAAATAAGGAGACCGGAAGAGTTTTGGCTGTGAATTCAAACAGATCTACCCTTCGTCAGGTTTTACCACCGTAGGTTATGTTGCTTAGCAACCGTGATAGTTGACACACAAAGCAGGAAAAGAATGAATACCAAAGTTTTCAAAACTGTTTGTTTATTTATTTCTTTTTTATTGTAAAGTGAACAAAGACAACACTCATGATAATCCAGAGTGGAATAAAGGTTCCAACCACAGGGAGCAGGAACAAATAAAAGCAAATGTAATGATATAAACCTTAGTCAGTTAAATAACATGCTGCTGTCATTTTGCACATCTCTGATGTTGCTGCTATTTTCAAATATCCATTACTGTAAAAATGTCCATAGCTGGATATTGGTTATTTATTCTCCAGGTGCACAGTTTTAAATTGTTAAAACACTTACAGTATTTTATTGTTTATATTTTAACTCTTCCCTATTATGTTAGTCTCATACATTTTTCCAAGGTCCACATTTGTGTGACCATTTTCAATAATCTTTCTGCTGCTGTAAATTTGCCCATTGTGGGACAATAAAGACATTTTCTATTCTATTTTATAAAAGGGGTAGAAAGATATAAGTAAATCTAAACAACATATGTATAAAACATAAATCTGAAAAATCTCTAATATTCAACAACAAAAAATACTAAGTTAAGCATATTGTGAAAAACAGCAATAAAAAAATAAAAACCCTATCAGATTTATAGTCCCCATACTGCAGACATATTAGAATCTTTCTTTAAATTACAGCCATAGGCTTTTACACAGTAAGAGATCAAAACCTTTAGATAAACCAAACATTACCGCAACATATCTGACTCAATAACCATTAAAACCAGTATTTTCATTCATTCATTTCAGACGGAACTTTTCACAGACTTGTGTCATATTATACTGCACTTTCAATTTTCACCACTGTTCGGCACCAAGTAACCTTTCCTCTAATCACGGAGCAGCCGGCTTGCTTGGTCTCGCAATGAATCCTGGGAAAACCAAGGATACCGAGGATACACCAGACCCGTCCTTCAAATCGGGCAAAAGGAAGGATGCATTTTAAGGCCGCATAACGAGGAGTCTTGGAATCCAAACAGACCTCGGCGCCGCACTATGGTCCTTCGAATGTGGCCTTCAAAGGACGCAGCCCATGAATTTGAACAGGCCTTAATCTCCATGTATTGCCACAACATTCAAGTTCCTAAATTACACACACGATAACAGGATCTAGAGGAATTTATATTAAAAATATATTTATCAACCACTTTCATTCTCTCATTCAATTATATCAATATTTATTATATCACTTTATAATTATATGACTAAACTATAGGTAATATGCTGATGAAGATTCTCAGCATCTTGCTCTATAACTATAGGTAAACTTTAAGAAGATCCCCAGAAAGCTTTCAAGGTCCACCAGGTTCTGATCCAGCCTGGTGTAAATCCAGCCTTTAACAATGGTTTTCAATCCCTTAGCTCCGTTTCAAACAGCAGACAGACATTGGCTTAAATTAGATTTTTATTAGAGAGGAGAATATCAAATGGATCAATGTTTGGCTTTGAAATTGACAGTGAGCACAATCTCAACTAAATTTCAATAGATTTAAAGCAACATTAATAAGAAAAAAAGACTTATGTTGCCTCACGTTAACCTACAGGCGCGCTTTCGCCTTGTTTCTGTCGCCCCCAAGTGGCGAGGACCCTGCAATTGGGGTAAAACTTTAATTATAAGCAACATAATTATTTTAATTGCAGTCAATTCGTGAAAACGGTTCCAAATGAACTCGCTGTGATGCTAACCAAAAATAGGCCCTCATAAAGTGAGCGGAACAGCTTCGGGTTTTCAGAATAACAACCTCCCAGCTGCCTGGTTTGATTTCTGTGATATGGTGGATGCTAAATTTAACGCTTGACTTCAGAAATGTGGTTGGCATGGCTACGGCGTGTGGTTTCAAGCTGAAGAATGTAAAACAGTAGGGGGCGACTGATCCCTACAGATGAGGCAATCGCTGAAACAGGTAACCGTGCTCTGACCTTTTTTTTTTTTTCTCAATAGAGACGCTATTATGAGTCATACATGCGTAGTTTCCAGGGAGAAAATATTTGTTTGCAATTTGATAAAAGGAAAAAGGATAGACTATAATTTTACAGGGCAAGGGATTTCTTTTTTTGTCTGCCGACTGAGAAAATTCAGCATTATTGTCGCAGACTAAAACCTATTTATGTGATCCTAAGATTTCACTTGAATGTAATTTGTGTTTCTCACATTATTTTTTGTGAAAAACCCCACAAAGTAAATTGTGGATGATATTTTCTTGCATTATTACCTAACAGCGAACAGCTCTTCCCAGAAACAATGCATCAACTCAGACCATAAGTTAAGGTCAAACTACTCACAGTTTATTACAACAATGAGTTCATACCACACATACAGTAGCACAGGTCTGGCTTGAGCTTCAATACCTAATCTAATGATGATTTGAGCATGAAGTAAATCAGGTAAAATGTAAATGTGATTTCATATTTCTATTTATTGATTAAAGAACAGCCATATAGGGGTGGTTTTAAAGTTTTCTCTGTAGTTACATCTTAGCTCTGAGCCCTAACACTCAGTAAGTGTGATGTTCCTGTTGTGGAGGCCAAATCGCCCTGTCTTCTTTGCAGCTGGTGCGAGGACACGTCACACAGCCGTCCGAACACATCCTACTCTTTTCATTATTCTTCTGCTTGTTACCAAGCAACATGATCACATAATAAAAGGCAGAGGGAAGAGAGGTGCAAGAGAGGGAACGGGTGGGTAGAACAGTAAGATGAACAAGCATAAAAGGACAGAGGTAGTGCCAAAGAAATGGGGGTGATCATGCTTAGAAAAAGAAGAATACACCAGCTAACACCTCTTTTACCTAGAGTCAGATACTCTGCTCCCTCTTTAGGCTCGCAGTAACTTATGCAGCCACTCGATTTCTCAGCAAACTCTATGTTCTTCATCTAAGAGTCCAGATGCATTCCTTATATGATATCTCTCCTGAAATAACCTGTTAGTGTTGTTAGTATCTCCTTCTAAGAATATGGCATGAGCAAAATGTAACCCCACAGACTCCAGTGACTCAGGAAAACAGGACATGAAGAGTTGCAGGGTTTTTTTTTTTGTAATCATGTGTCTGCTTGCAAAGGTCACATGTGAGCTCATCTAAGCTGTTGTCATGGAAATATCTTCCCTAACAGGTGACATTCCACTGCCTTTTAATGTCAGCTTTGGCCTAGATGCCTGTTTTTGAGATGTAGCATCTCCATCAGCATCGGCTCCTGGTTAGTGGCTGATATTCAGCAAGCAGCTCTTCTTTGATGGGTGGTGCCCTGAGAAAACCTCAGTTTCTGCTCTCACTGCTTCGATATTTCAATATGTTTTAATCTTATACCATATATTTAGTGAGCTGCTCCTAATGCAGCAAAACACCTACTCCCTTCAAACACAACATAATGCTGCCTCCCTCGTACTTTGCAGTTGGTTAAGTATTTTCAGGCATACAAACCTCTTCCTTTTTCCTGCATCTGACTTTTTGACAAAATACCTCAAATTTATCATAAAAAAAGATGTGGTCTGATGAGTTTCCAAATCAAATCTTTACTATCCCTGAGAACATTTGCAAACTTTAATCTGGCTTTTCCTTTTTTACTTTGGGCTTTTTTTTTCTGGGAGAGTGGCTTTTGCGGTCACATTTTTACACCTTCAACCAGCATTATCAGAAAACAAATTTTTTTTACTTTCCTTTCTTTGGGCCCAACTTCCCCTTCCAAATAACAGTCATTTTTGTAAAAGTCCACAATTATTTTACTGAAGTCTTGTGTCTTTGGATTTTCACATGAAAGAAACCACAATATTTGAGGTAATGCCTTAAAATACATCCAGCAGTCCTCCATTTAACCTGATTGCTTGAGTTAAATAAAACCAGTCAAGTACAAACAAACAACCTGGTCTTACTAAATGTATTTTAAGAGTAAGATATTTCGTTTTGATTGTTATGATAATTATGAGAGAGCTATGCAAACTTTTACACATGTGGCACTTGTAGACATTCTAGCTATGAAAAAACAAAACACTGCGTATTTCATTCTTTAACTGTGCTTTATACATGAATAATGAAACCCACAAAGCACTTAACAAATACTTCAGTGTTTTAGCTTTCACACCATAGCTCCTTATCAGAAGTACTCAAAAATGTTGCTTGTGTAAGAATAACACTACATCATCGTATTTTTACTCGAGGCAAAAGTAAAAAATATTTAGTATAAACTCATTATAACACCTGGTATTTAAAGTTATCCAATAAAGGCAGACTGAAATGTAAAATTGAGTGTAAATTATTGTATTTTAAAGACTGTAGTAAAAATACTAAAACAAGATGATAATCATATTGAAGAATTCCAACAAGCAGAAATACTTTTTAAACCAGTTTTCTTTCCAAATCAAGCCTCTGAAACCTTTATTGACAATATTTAGTCCTTGCTGTATATTAGCTGGAAACCCAAAAGTC